GTTAAAATATACATTCCAACTATCAAAATGCCTTCTTGGTGCTATAATACTATTCTAAAAGCTATTTTTTTTAATTCAAGGAAAAAGGTGTCTGTCCTTTAGATTTTCTAATGGAAAAACTGTTGATATAAGGTAGAAAGTATGATCAGAGAGAAAGAGAGGAGAAAATCTCCACAGGCAGGATGCTACCCCTCCCCTGACACACGCTGGGGAGCAGAGGACTGACCTACCAGAGTTCGGAGTAGCTGAAGAACTGACATGTTCATGACTGTTTTGGATCAGATTCCATTTGTTAAATTTTCTTAGCATCAAAACGGATAAAGGAAAATAAGTTGTACTAGCTTCAACAATAATTAGAATGACATTGTCCCTGTTTATGAAAAACTCTCCCTTTGGTGTGATACCACCTGGGAAATTAGGAAACTGCCGTGGGTTCATTAGAACAGGAATTTGTCTGAGCACTGTGTAGTCTCAGGAGAAAAAAATTAAAAAAGTTTTCCTGGGGGAGAATCGGGCAGGAGTGAATCAACTACTGTAGGAGCTGACTGCAGGGAAGTCCAGCCTTAGGGAGGCCCCCGTTTTGTGCAAACTGATCAAATACAGATGTTCCCAAGGGGGTGACCTTATCGACCGAGACTTCACTGGGGATTGCATGGCAGACAGCCTGCCAGTAGTGGGGTGAAGGCATGTTTTGGTCAGAAAGTGTAAATGTATATACGAGGACAGGATGTGGGTGGCACTTGAAAAACATCTGTTTTATTGATAAATACATGTTTACTTCCAAAAAGTTTTCTACCAGGAAGATATAGTGAAAAAGAAATGTCGTTTCAAGGTTTGATAGGTGTTTTGTGTGCACATCAAACTCTGAAAGAAATGAAGGCCAAAAAAAATTATTAAAAATGTGTCCAACCTTCAGTCTTCCTGAAATATCAGATTTCATATAAAACTCATCAGCTGAGCTAAGTATTAGGTTTGATCAATGGCAGGAAACTAGGGGATCAAATGCTAATAAATCAGAAACAGATACCCCTTCTCAAGCAGAAACTGTACCACAAAACTGAAAATGAGGAAATCATCTGATGATTTTTTTAATGTATGTTGCACAAAGAAAACTAGCTTGGGGGATGCTGGATCTTATACAGGGACAAAGACTGAGACTTATACGCACCCTAATCAACCTTCAACTTTATCAAAACAACAGGCAAAAGAACAAAAAAGAACTAGTTGGTGAATAGATACTGAAGTATAATCTGTGTGTTTGTGGCTGTGCAGTGTTAATTGGCAAAGTGGACACGTCAAACCTTGCTTTTTATTTTGCTAGATGATTCCTGCATTTTCTCTTTCAGAATTATGCCCTCAGCCCCAATCCTTTGGTCTTTTGAAAATGTACTATACCAAAATTCTACTCTTTGGCTTCTTGGTACTTTTTCTCTTACTCGCTTTCATTTTGAGAAGTAAATATTTAATCAAAATAAAAAGTTATGTACAGAAAATGTACAAATATTAAGTTTACAAATTCATAAATGCAATGAAGTTGCATTACCTGTGCCCAGCTCCACAAACAGACCACTTACAGCACGCAGAAACTCACCCCCAATGCTCCTTTGAGGGCAACCACTGTCCCGTCTGGTTAATGCTATAGGTTAGTCTTTCTTGAGCATTCTCCAAATGAAGCCATAAAGTATGTCTTGCTGCCTCTGGTTTCTTTTGCTCAATATTACAATTGTGCATTTCATCCATGGTGGTTGTTTACTTGTTAATATTTAAAGCTGTATTATTTTGGATAGTATTGAATGTATTCATGTCATCATTGCAGTCTTATATATACAAAATGTCTTTTCATTTCAGCAGGGTGATCTTTTTCGGCACTCAGAAGAGAGTTCAAAAAAGTAACCACCAGCAGAAATCACAAAAGAATCCACTGAGCTGTGATAAGGTTCTCCAACCAGCATGTGTATAATTAAAAGCACATTCTTGAAAGCATCTTTAAAATCTACCTATTTGGTTCCCATTCATTTTTCTTTAAAAATACGATGCAATTATTATTTTCTTTCTTTTATCCACCTTAAATAAGAACCCCAGGAGTGTGGTCCTGCTTTCTGAATGGAAAATGTTTGCTTCTGTGAAAACAAAGAGCTAAATTCAATTAGAAAATCCTAGTATTCAGTAGGTCAGAATTTCCCTTCCTTATTTTCCCTTCCACAATCTATCACCTAGAGTAATTAAGACCAGCGAGGTATCATCTTCACTGGATTAACCTTAACTAAATTGTACTCATTCAACATGTGCCCTTTTGATTAGTCCAAGCAGGGCCTGCTGTCTCGGATACACCCACCTTGTAATTCTACACACTTAATTAATTTCAGATGAATAGAGAGGGGGATAAGCTAAATTCTCCAATTAATAAACTCTTAAGTCCTTCTGTGTATCAGAGCGGCTCCAGATTTTTATCCTCTTTTTATTTCTTTTCCTTGTGAAGGCTAAATGGAGATTGGAAGAAGAAAAAAAAAAAACAGAACACATACACACAGCTGCAAGCATACGAGGTGCTTAAGAGGGGTCACTGAGAAATTTCATCATCATAAAGGACAGACTTTAAGAATTGTTGGAAAAATAGATTATTTTTCTGCCAAGCATAATTTTTAGTGCCTTTTTCCACCTGGACCTTGATATTTAATTTTTACTGGCATCTATTCTCTGTACTATGTACAGATTCTTGGTTATTAAAGTTCACTATTAATGTCACTAATTCTGTATTTTAAAATGCATTTCTCAGAAGTAAAATATTATGAGTGGTCTGAGAACTAATGGGTTGAAGTTACTTGTTTAATTATCAAATTCAACAGCTTTCAAAAATATAAGAAAAATGTGCCCGGACAACAGAAGAAATTATTTCCTTATAATAAAACAGATCCTAAGAATATTTATATTCTATACTTTATCTTGTATTAAAAACTGGCTAGAAAATCATGGAAGATAGACTTTTAGTCTCTCCTTCAAAGCACAAAATTTATGTATCTAGTTATTACTGACTTAAAAACTACTACTTGAAAATAAAGTGTTTGTAGATGGGGTGGGGAGGAGGGGGTGAAGGGAGGGCAGAGGTAAGGGGAAAAAATGAGAATCAAGACTTGCCATGTAGAGGTACATGATCCCAACAATGAATGTAACTGTACTGTATCCCTAAAATGTACCAATAAACTCAATAAAATTAAAAAAAAAAGAAAAGAAAAAAAAAAACCTACTACTGATCTACATACTTGTATAAAAAAAGTTTCTCCAGTAGTAGCTTTTATACCCTATGACTCAACTTCTAAGGTTAATTACATTTGGGAAATTTGAGC